TTAAGACCTTTAAAGACCTTTTTAAGACCTAAACGTCACATGTCAGTCTTTAAAACATTTTTAAGTATGAATTATTATATTAATTTAAACAATTATTATTAATCAATTATTAATTAATCAATTATTATATTAAATTACATATATCTTAGTGTCTTAAGTGTTTAGATTTTTATAATGCATTAGCTTCTTGTCCATCCACTGGTTCACATTTTAAAACATGTAGCAAAAACAGCAGAAGGTCTTATTGAAAAAGCAAATTCGTTCTCTGCCAGCAGGTGTCACTTTCAGAACGGCAGTAATATAGCGGTTTCCCCCAGTAACCGCAGTCCACAAAGCAGCAGCACCTGACTTTGAAACGTGCAGCGCTCATATTTATTCAGTGAAATCGTAGCCTTTTGAAGTTTAATCAACATATTAATTTACATAGCAATTCTTGTCATTCAGTCCCCAAATTTAAGACCATTTATAATTAAGACTTTTCGTACCATTTAAGAGTTTTCATGGCCTTAAATTTAAACAATTAAACTGAGGACCCGCGGAAACCCTAAGAACAGGAAGCTACTAAGAACCCACAATTCAGTGCAAACATTTCTGCCATGCATTTGGCAAAAAGGTTTTGTTTACTGTGCATTTTACCTGTGCAAATTGAGTTTGTGAGCAGTGGTGTGATGGCGATTTAAATAAAAATAGATTTCCAAACATATGGGTATCACCTTGAACTTGGTAAAAAGATAATCTATTTACCATCTTGACTGGCAAATAAAAAATTAAAAACTGACCATGAAAACAGTATTTTCCAATGTTAGTAAATGTTTATGTTAGAGTGCACGTCCTACTGTGCTGTAATTAATAGGTGAGCGGTTGAAAACTAGCGACCCTTTTACTGTTTGGAGACTGTATTAACATCATAAACTGAAAGCAATCTTTACGTGACTTACTTTTCAAATGTTTTCAAATTGAGCATCCGAGTCTAATATAATCCAGCGGGCCGCACTAAAAAGACACTGCGGGCCGCCAGTTGCCCATCCCTGCTGTACATCTTTGTTTTCTTACAGGTCATGTTTATTTCCACTGCTGAGCTCTCCTTTAGTTCAGAAACAAGAAGAACCAGCTTCAGTTACACTGAATGATCAGCAAAGAAAAATAGAAGATCAAAGATGTTTGTTGGAAGAGGTAATATGTTTTGATTAGTTTTTTGAAAAACATTAAATGTTGGTTTAATAAAGAAAAGAAAGTATAACTTTACTAGAAAGTCAAATGACAGATGGGCAATATTTATTTATGTATTTATTTTGCACTAGCTGAGACATTTTAATTTGCATGATCGGTGTTTCTGAACTCTTGATGTCATTAAGAGACGTTTAGACAATGTTAAATAGTCTGTGTTGTACAGCTGGCCCGTATAGAACAGGACCTGAAGGAAACCATCCAAAGAGAGGAGAAGAGACAACAGGAGCTGGACCAAGTAAGACTAGAAGAGAATCGGATCCGCTGGAGAAGTCTGTTGTTCCTCAGCCTCAACCAGCGTACAGCGAAGTATGAACCTGTGCCTGAACTACCATATTATCTCAAAAAATTTAAAACATCTTTATAAGCTTTCACGTCAAATATAAACTATAATACCTTTAATGAGCTAATGAATAATCTGCTGTGGTTTGGGGTGCTGTGGTGTAAATGTTTGCTACTCCAAAGTATCATAAATCATCACTATTATGTCTTTGAGCAAAACACTTAACACTCCTGCCTCTAGGCGCGTTTCCATTACAGATTTGCGCAAAACTTTGGCGATATTTTATAAATGTCGATAAAAAAGTATTGCGAAATGACGGCGTTTCCATTAACCAATGTTATGAGACTTAAACGTAACATTTTGCCTCTCACGATAAGTCATGGCAATGGATTTTGGTGGGATTTTGACGGATTTTGAAACATAAACACAAGCATTGAGTGGCCGCAATCAGCTTCAGTGACCGTATCAGAGCCACACTGCACCGCAGACGTGTGCAGTGTAAATTGTCTAAGCGTTAATGGTAGAGAAAGCCCCTTATACTGGAGCGCGGCCACTTATGAAGTGTTTCTTGGAGGTTATAGTACATTGAAGAATGATCATATGACTTTTTACATGCGCCATGTGACTTCTAAATGCGAAAAATCAGTTTCCATTGCAGTTTTGCGAATTATTCCTTTTCGCATTGCCTGAAAAACCACCTCATGCGAGCGTAAAAACTTTTTTGCGATATATGGGCGTTTTTTAGAAATTGACGCGTTTCCATTAGGCGTATTTTCAATTCACAATTTCAATTTGCGCAATTTGAAGGGTAATGGAAACGCGCCTTCTGTTATACATTCATGTTGCCGTGACATTATGTGCATCAATTTACACATGACACACATACATGCTTTTATCCATGAGACCTGAAACCAAAAGATTTCTGATGATTTCTTCTCTCTGTGTTTCTTGCTTTAGGCCCTGGGTGACAAGCTACTATAAGAACATACCGATGCACATCTATTGCCTTCCAATAGAGACTGTTGTCCGAAATCAAAATAATAAGAAGAATAAAAGAAGATGAGGAAATTATGCTGTTACAGCAAACAGTTACAATCTGAAAGAAAATCAGAGCATCCAGAGCATCATGTAACCAAACAGACGATGAACACTATTAACTGCAATGATTATTTGTTGCGATTAAACGTATAGCAAAATTTGGTAGTTTTGTATGTTGTTTGAGGGTTGGTATCATCTGAGGTCCTCTGAGGGGTTGGCATTATCTCTTCTCAGGTTTTCGGTCATCTCAGATCTTCGTAAGGGTTGGATCCAGACTCCCAGATAGCAACATAGTGTCGGCCCAGATCCGGCCCACATCTGGCACATGTGGAATGATGATCTGGCCCACATGTAGCGTGGAATGATGGCACTTGTGCGGACCGCTCCTGTTTGCCAGATCTAGGCCAAAAGCAGGCCATATCAATGCCACATGTCAGCCAAGAGCAAAGAAATAAACCACAACTGAATCTTATATGAGTCACAAAATCTGTGTATATTAAATATGGAGTCATCTCAGCCTTAATAAACCCATTAACAATCAGAATGGAGGATTAAACAACTCCACAAACAGCATAACCAGCTTCACTTATTACTAACCAGAGTGACTTTATTTCTGTTAGAGGTCTACAGAAGTTATTTATTGAGAATTAACAGGGGTTTAAATCTAACGTGTTTCGTTTGAAGTCACCATAATGTTGATTAGTGTTTCCATCAGTTTGTCCCCTAACTCTTATTACAATTAGTTTGTCTTTGCTGGCTGCTATGATGGTGTGTTTATCAAACACATTTGCAGTAGCAAATAAAGCCATAAAATTAAATGAGCAAATAAAATGAGATCAGCTGATGATGGTTAGCTATTAATGTTTCTACAATCATCAATGAAATAGCCTGATCCACTAATCAGTTCCTCCAGGATTTCGCGGGACTTTTTTCTGATTTTTGCGGCCTAAAATGACTGATTTTGCTGCAGCTTTTCTCAAAATTTGCGGTGATATTTGCGGCATTTCTTATTGTTTTGCCGTGAAAATATACCACAGACAACATTCTTCTAACATTCTTATGACTTTTCTGACTTCGAGAACCATTGTAGGGCTCCAGACTAACATTTGAGGACACCAGCACCAGTGCCATTAATTTCTACAGAAGGTGGCACCAACACCTGACAGTAAAAAAAGTAGATATCTGCATTTACATATGCAAGATGTATTTTTTTTTAGAGTGTTTACTCATCTGCAATATGTCTCTAAGACGTTTCCTGTCAGATGTCAAATAGACATTTATTAGAATGCATGTAAAACTGCTTCTGAGACGTTTATCAGATTACACAGCAGATGTTTCCCAGATCTTTAGCAGACGTCTTACAGATGTACTTGTGCTGTCTGGGTAGTTGAGATGCAGATAAAATTAACTTTTATTACTGTCATTCATAATGTCTAAATATAATTTAATAAATA